TATAATTATATTCGTGTTTACATATCTTGAAATATACGTTTACTGTGTGGGACATATGTACATACAGTTTATTTGTGTTACATAAATTTGCTAAAGTATAATATATTGCACGAAGTAACACATACACGCGGAGACGTACATATATCAATGGACTGAGCCCGCGCTTTTAAAAGTCACGTGACATGCAGCTGATCCAGCGTCGTGTCAATTGGTTGCGTTCAACAGGCCAAGCCGCTCACTAGCAGTCGAACGTGATTGGCTCTTACTTTTAGAACCAATTAATCAACGTAGAGTGTTGATAAGACGAACTCAACAGTTGTGTTTATTGCTACGCCAGTCACGTGGCTATAAACGCTGTTGTAAGCCGCGATCCGCGCCCTCCTCAATCGACTCAATCTGACATTTAATGTTTGCCAGTTTATTTAGTTGTTCTCGTTCATCGTTGAAAGGTCGATCAGTTGAAAAGTTGAGAAAGTTAGGGTGTGCGAGCAGCATGAAAGAACGTTGCGAAGAGGAAGCTAATATCCGACAGGTAAAGAATTTACAATCTGTTTTGTTTTGCAGCTTAAGTTCAACAATGTAACCAGGGAATAAGATATAATACTCCCTGAATATAACAAATACTACGTTTACGCGAGCATTACTTCTGTAGTAACTTACGATAACTCGTTTACGCGGAGTAAATTATCGTAAGTTACTACAAAATCCCGTTTACGCGAAGGAATTATCGTAAGTTATTACAGAAGTAACGCTTGCGTAAACGTAGTAAAAGGCTGTTAAAAGTAATGTGAGATACATTAGTAATAATCGAGAAAAAGAACTACATGAGGTCATTAATAACTCAAGAAATGAACAAAAAACTGAAAAAATTCTAGATGTATCAAAAACTGAAAAACAAATATTCGGTTAACGTTACCATTTTTTCATGTCTGAAAAAATGTCGATGGAATGAGATTCATCTTCACGCAAGTATATTTATCGCGTCTCAGATAATTCGCTCGCTTTTGTCAAGTTCTCTTTCGGGGAAATTGAATTCTCGACGTAAAAAAGGGATGAATGTAAATTATCCCTGATCCTTGCAGCGAAGAGTACAACTCTCGCGTTAAGACGTAATAAAATATTTGCATGTAGCGTCATAAGTCGTCGGGATGGTTCCACATCGTCCAGTAATTCTCTGTAATTCTAATATGCATAACTTCTGCAAGTTCTAAGAACGAACGCTGAATGATGACGTCAGTGATTGATTTCTGTTGTTTTCTTCTATGCTTTTTGCAGTTAAGATAATACGTATAAAATATCACAGAGAGTCATCTCATGTTAGAACATACAATGCAGCGTCATATATTTTGTGTTGCAGAGTTATTTCACCATGGTAAAGTCATGATATGACTGCACAGGAGTGGAAAGAGAAGGGTAATGAAGAATTTAACAAAGGCAGTTGGTCAGACGCGAGTCACTATATACAAACGCACTGAAAATAATAAAAGAGGACAACTCTGAAACAGGAGTGTACTACAAAAATCGAGCTGCAGTATATTTAATGTTACACGATTACGAGAAAGTGGTTGAAAACTGCGACACTGCGTTAAAGATATATGTTGTAACAAAGCACTGTATCGCAGATGTCAAGCACTAGAAACGTTAGAGAGATTCGAGGAGGCATATCGGGATGCGAAGATCATTATTTCATCTCACCCCAATAACAAAGTTATTCAGCCCGTAGCGACGCGCTTACTTGAAATTGTACAAGAACGTTGTAAGGAAAATGCAAGTATTAGTGCTAAGATAAATATATATAACTACTATAGAAATAAATCAACTCGTAAGAGGTGATAAATAGATCTATATGTAGATAATGTAAAAATTGTAACATACTTTTCATACCAGATACTTTAGTAAGAGTTTCTATTTAACTCAATATCATAATATATAATTTGATAAATGGTTTTTAAATTTTACTTTTTTTTAGTATATAATTATTATTGTTTAATAGTTTACACATTCTGTATGAATAAAAATTATACAAATATAATTTTAGTTATTTATATTTTTTTATTACAGATCATTATATTTAACCCGTTGAGGTCACACCTCCTAAAAATAACGTAGAGATCACATGGGGTCCAATGGACCCCACAACAGTTTCCATTTGCGTTCTTTTTGATGTATCGACTCAAACCTTGAACTGGAATTAATTTATGACTTCCTCTTGATAATCCAATAATTTTAAAAAATTTTTTATGTTGAAAAAACGCGAGAAAAAATTTTTTTTCGAGAAATTTGATTTTTTTCACAAAAATATTCATCAAAATTTTTTTAGATAAAAAACTTTGTGCGTTTTACTCTCAAAATAGTATACTTTTAAGCAAAAAAATAAAAAAAAAGCGTGGGGTCCACTGGACCCCATGTGACCTCAACGGGTTAAATATAATTTTACTTTGTATTAGGTAACAAATGCTGGATTTAGCATTTAACGTGAGTGCAGATAACGACAAATGTGAAACCGCTATGAACAATCTGTTTGTACTCGCATGTGAGAGAGCTGAAAAATCATGGCAGTATGTGTTTAACAAAAATATATGAAAACATGTACTATGTACTATGATGCTGCTAAGGAAAAATTTATCCACACCATTGAAGAATTTATTAAAGATAAATTGGTTTCACCTGACACAGAATCCAAGGTATTATACCTTCCGAGATTTTTTTGATTATTTGAATTATTTAAAAATAAAGGGCTGTCTCTTTAATTATATCCTTTTTGAACAACTTGAACTCTATTTTTTAAAGCAAAAATGTCGAAAAAGATTTTTTTAATTATCAATATTGATATTCTGTAAGTTTTAAATTAAAATACGATTATAATAGAGTTTAATCGAAATTTATTGAAGAATATGACTTTTTTATCCAGTAATTTTTAAAGCTCAATTTCTTTGTACTACAGAAATCTGCTATTTAGAGCTGAGCAATTATACGAAAAAGTGGTTGAAGACTGCGACAATGCGTTAATAAAATGTTATAACAAAATATTGTATCACAGATGACAAGCACTAGAAGCGTTAGAAAGATTCGAGGAGGCATATCGGGATGCGGAGATCATTATTTCATCTGACCCCAACAACAAAGTTATTCAGCCCGTAGCGACGCGCTTACGTGAAATTGTACAAGAACGTCGTAATAAAAATATAAAAATTAGTGCCAAGATAAATATACGTAACTGTTACAAAAGTTCGTCAACTTGCAAGACATGATAATTTAATATTTAATCTAGATAAAATAATAAAAATGCAACACATTTTTCATACTGGATGTAAGTGTTAGTAAAAGTTTTTGTCGAGGTTTTTGTTTTACTCAATATCACATATAATTTGACAAATGGATTTGAGTTTTTGTCTCTTTTATATCTTATATATACATGTATCGATAAATATTAACTTATTTTATATATATTTGTAATAGCCCTCTCACTTTTTCTCTTTCCGACACTGCTGATAAAACATAATTTTGGTGCGCGTCCGTGCTACATCTGCAAATGGTATATATATTATACAACAAAATGATGTTTTATCGGCAGTGCCGCAGGCCTCTCGAGAATCTCGAGCGTGCGCACTGCGCGTCACGATGACAGATTTTGAATCGCGGTCAGTCGTCAGTCGGGTCAGTTCCAGGTTCCAGTTGCAGGTTGCAGAACGCGTCGCAGTTCCGGCAAGCCGCCCGGAGTCCGGCTCGCGTCGTTCCGTATTTCTCGCAGTCGTTGTCGTTCAGACGTGAACCCGGCGCGCCAGAATCTAGCCAGAATTACTGGCGAGCGACTCGCGAGGCGTCGGGCGTTCGTCACAACGTATATCGAACGTAGCCGATCGCTAGGTATACGTAGCCG